TGTTTAGTTTTTTTCCCCACTTTTGTGTTTTCCCTGCTTATGAAGCGATTTTTAGACTCCTTTGAAAATAAGTTGACAAGTCAGAAATGGAGTATTGACATGCTGTGTTAGGATAACTTGACTAATCTATGATCAGAAAGACTGGCTTTTAGCAAGTTGTCAAATATCTCTTGATGACAGGAGCTTTTTCAGTTGAACTAAAGCAGTACAATGTGGTCAAACATACTCATGCCGTAAACAGTCATCTACAGGGAGTTACTGTCCTGCCTCCTCATTGTTTCCTTATCCCTGTGTCGAACACCTTCCTGTTTCTAAATTGAGGTGTGGTTATTAACAGCTGAGTGTTAGAAATCAAGCGCTCATGAGGATCATGCTTCTCCATGTGAGCTTGCGTGGTGCCTCCGCGCCCCAAATTTCAGCCTTCATGTTGGAATTGCAGATATGCCTCATTGGTCTAGACATGCCTGCTGTGCAAAAAATGTCTTGCAGCAATCACAATATTATGCAGGACATTTTTATCTAGATATTATCTGGTTTAAATATTTCATTTCAACCTACAAAAGAAAGGAAGATGCATTTGAGACCTGTAGTTATTGTTGATCTCATGCTTGACAATATTTTTGAACATCTCATCTTCCAGTTCACCTTATTCAGCTTTTTTAAGATATTTAATAAATGGTTTACAACACTATAAGATAAATGTTTAACACTGTACAGTCAACAACAATAATTCATCCTGTGGGCAAACATAAGAAAATGATGATGTTTAAAGAGCTAATAGATAACAATATAGAGAAACACTGTTATAGTGATACAAAATGTGCTTTCATGAGAAGCTATATTTTGACAAATACTGTTTATAACACTTAAAATGACTTAAAGTGGTGGACAAGTACATTATATTGTTGTATGCACTATTTCTAAAATGTTAATTACTTTTTTGTTTAATGAGGACATATTATGCTAATGTTAAGGTTCATATTTGTATTATGTGTCTCTGCTGTGACATGTCTCCATGCTTTAATGTTCAAAAAGCTCTTTATTTTTCTCATACTGCCTGTGCTGCAGCACCTCTTTTCACCCTCTGTCTGAAACCAGAGCTCAGCCTGCTCTGATTGGTTAGCTGGCTGGCTCTGTTTTGACCACTAAGAGATGTTTTGGAAATGTCCTCCCCTTTAGCATATTACGTAAGATGTGTTGAAGTGCTAACCAATAGAAGTATGAGTGTTACATAGTGCTGTCACTATGTTACAGAAGTTAACAAAAGAGTCCAATGGAGGCGTTTCAGGCAGGGGGGAGTGAGTGGGAGAGAAACTCCTCGGAGGGAACTTTGGAATGTTAGCCTTTTGAGCCCATTTACATGTAGAAAAACCTATATAACACACTACAGGAAAGGGAAAAGCCCAAAAAGCATAATAGTAACATATAGTGGAATTGCCTTTCCATACCTTATTAAAGCTAGTGTTTGGTTATTAGAGGTTGTTCTGTAAGGGTATCTCTAGGCTAATAAGGGACAAAACATTGCGTTACAGAAATGCCAAAGATATATTTTAAGTAACTACCATGCCAGTGGCTCTGAAAAGTTGTACCAACGCTTTTCAATCATTAATGTACAATATGTATGGCCAATCTATCGATGTAGAGATATTTTGATGAATAAATGAAAGGGTGCAACAATCGAAATCGAATATCATCGATACAAAATGACAACATCAATATGTATAATGAGCTTTAAGATACATCTTTATTTTGGGAACATAAAACCTTTCAGGGCAGTCTTCATGATGTCAGCAAATAATGTATTGAGGTTGAAACACTATAGATAGTATTTTTGTGTGATGAAATGTTTGATTTACATCCCTTATGTTGGTGCTTTAAGATTAGTCACAGAATAACCAAAGCAATTAGAATCACTCCTCTACAGGTATATGTACCACATTTGATGGCAATAATTGTTATGACACTTTACATACAAAAACAACCCTCCTAGGGGCACCAAAGGGGAGCACCAAAGTCATTTGGATCCTCCTCTGGGGACCATGAATAATCATTGTGGTGGCTCAATTTCCAGTTCCGTTTGAGTCGCCGAGAGGCTAAGCTTGGCTATAAACTGTGACGCGTTTTCGAAGAGAAAGGCCACACTGAAGCAAGATAGTTTTACGATATTTAATAAACAAAATCAAAACACAGTAACTATGGACAAAACGGTCAACAGAAAAAATGACAGCACAAGCTCACCCTCTGTCATCCGCACCCGGCATGAAACAGGTGACTTATATACACAAACCACACCATGTGACAATTACCGGAAGTATTCAACAAACAAATAAAAGTGACGTAAACAAATAATAATAATACAAATAATGAACTTGGGCTAAGTAGCATTATGGGACCTACAATCATTATTGCCATTTCTAGAGCTACACCACCACTGTGAAAAAAACGTTAACTAATATATCGTTCTTAGACTGTAAAGCTCTCAAAAATAAATGTTGCTATTTACTAAATGTTATAACGGAAGGTCTTTATTACATGCTCAGTTTCACATATATTACACACTTATACACTTGCACACACACAAACAAGCTCTGACAAGTGCTTGGCCCATTCCCTCTGAGGCGTATCTCTGAATCATTTAGATAAGTGTTGGAATAGTATGCATAACAGCATAAAGGTATTTTTGGTTTCTCTGCCAGTGAAGTTAGGTCTTTACATAACATTTTAAAAGCTAGGATTACCTGAGGACACCTCAGCCATCAGCTACTTCACTTTTCCACCTTTTCAGTTTTTTCTGAAAGGTTCTCCCATTATCTTTGAAATGCTTTGTTAATGAGCTCTTTGCTTTACTCACAAGTCCTTGTTCTACAACAAAAGTCCCAAAGACACTTGAAAACCTCACTGATTGTGGCAGTAAGCCTTGACTGTTGGGATTTTTGTAACCTGGCAGTACCCCAGGGACCTCATTTTCATTGTAATAAATGCCAAAGCTAATCGCTGTAGTGACACACTACCGTGCTAAGAACAAGTTTGTCAGTGTAGCAGTCACAGCTTCTGGATGCCAGTAGCTGTGTTTGCATGGCAGTGAACATACTGGGATGGCTCCTTGCCAGCAGCAGCTGAGCCCCTTCCAGCAGCAACAAGGCCTTTTAACCCCCGGCTTTGTTGTGAAACCTCTTTTGTTTCAAGCTGCTGCCCTTCGTACGTCAACGTCAGGCTCTTTCACTCAGCCTCATTCATCTCGGCTCTGCTCTTGAGGCTCTTGGCAGGTACAGAGGTTGGGAGTGTCAGAGTAAGATCAGTCAGAAAGATGAAGCCTGCTGAAATAATTCGCAGGAATGCCTGATCAGTAGAAACACATTGACTTTATATAATCTGAATGCTATACAAGAGGCAAAGTCAATCGTTTCTGTGTTCACGGCAGCTTGATGCTAAGTGGATTTCTATTCGCACTGTGTTTGAGCCACTTAGCTGCAATGTTTGGGCTGGTTGACAACATCTTGTTTTATTGCAAATCACTTCTCAATGGCTGTTTTAACTGTACGTTCATGCTATATGTATAAAGCTTTGAATTTCTCAATGGGTGGTACATTTATAGAAACACCACAAATGCATTTTGTACAGGATAATCTGGCAACACAAATTGAACAAAAAGGTAAAACTAAGTCAGTATTGATGTTTATATTCTAAACAAAAGTCATGAATACATTCCCAATACAAACAGAGTCAACATTATGGTGATTGGGTATTTGATTATTAGTACACTTTATAGAACTGAATGCAAAAATGGATATCAATGGATAGTATTTGTATACACTCATACCATAAGATCGTAGTTAGTTACAATTTAAAGAGTACATGTGTTTCTCATTTGCAGGTTCATATTTGTATTATGTGCATCTATGTGACATGTTTACATGCTTTAATGTTCAAAACGTGCTATATTTTGCTCATAATAAATTGGAATAGAAGTGCAAGTGTTACATATCGATGTCACTTTGTTACAGCAGAAAAAGGTTAGGATGTTTTTTTAGCCTTTGCAGACCATTTACATGCACACAAACCTATAACACAACCCCAAAAAGCATAATAGGGCCTCTTTAACTACTTGAATAATTTGAAACCCAGAGCCCTTTTCTGAACAACTGTATATCAGCAGATGTGAGGTCCTACATTCTGTGAACATCACTGATGAAAAATTCCCGGCCTCCGGATCTGTTACCTTGGTTATCTATGTTTCATTAGATTAGAAATGATGGCGGCATCACTTACCTCCTCTTGACAGATAAATGGACTCTGTCTCAATCTTATCAGGCCTCTCAGGGCTACAGTGTGCTGCAGCGAAGGCTGAAGGCCAACAGGTCAGTGTGCTGACAAAGGAGGGATGATGTCACCATCTATTCTGAAGAAACAACCGGTGACATATTTACGAGTGTGTCATTGAACGCGCATGTTGGGGGAATTTGTATTGGGCTGTGTGTGCATGATGCTTGTGAGTTTGTTGATGCTACAAGCACACGTATGCCGCTACAATCAGTCCATTGGAATTTATTCATTTCATTTCATTTCAAACCTTTATTTATCCAGGTTGTATCCCATTGAGATCATTGATCTCTTTTTCAAGGGAGACCTGCTCAAGTAGGTTCCACATGAAACATTAAAAACATAAGCAGAACAACAAAAAGGACATCATACAGCATCATTACAGGGATTACAATTTACAATAGCTATCCACATGAACAGGTACCAACAACTTCCGATTGAGTAGCATCCAACCGAGCTTTAAAAACATTTAGTGGCACCAGATTGCTCAGTTTCCATTTCAATTGCAGACTATTCCACTTACTTATTGAAAAGATTAAGTAAAAGTCCGAAAACTGTTGCAAATCAACTCATATATTTGGGGTTTGCACTGATGGCTGGACAAAACTAGACAGTAAAAAGGAAAATAATTGAGTTGTAGCCACATTTTTAACCTTCTTCTGTGTTTCTTCTCTTGACAGGTATATCTCATCAATGTCACCTACTCTGACAACACCTCCCACATCGTGTACAGAAGATACAGCAAATTCTTTGACCTACAGGTAATCTTCCATCCCTCATTTATTCCTTCGTTCTACGCGTGTTTGTAGAACATTACCAAATTCTATTGACGCTGATGTATTTTGAACATGTCAACCCGGTGAACCTGCAGCAATGTTTTGTATAGATGAATGTGTAAGCCTCTCGACTGTTCACTGCCGCCGTGTCTATGCCCGTGTTCTCTACACCTCGTCGCCTCAATGAATCAATGTGTGTGTTAGTAATTGGTCGGGGAGCAGGGGAGACATGGTTTGTATCCCTCAGCCTCGTAGAGATGCAGCAATGCGCAGCATCCTTCTCTATGCTTTCTCTACACCAATACCCCTCCTTCTTTTGACCCTCTTCTTACTCTCTCATCTAATCTCTGCCTTACCCTCAAAACGTCAGGGAGCTGACAGGCCTTTTTTATAGTACAATGTAATGTTCCATGCTTTAAAGTGTGTTGCTGTTACATTCTCGGTTGCAGGCTGCTCTGATTTTTGGGTTGTTTAAATATAGTCTTATGTAGAGGAGTTTTCTTTTCCAGTTTTCCTGACTTTGCTATGATGCTTAACTCTCACATTTAAAGTGTTAGCTTCTCTCTCCAGGTCTCTATTTATTTTGGAACTGAGCAGAATGTGCAGTAAAAACCCTGCCTTGTATCTCTCAGATTGACTATTCCATACTGAGCGAATGTTTGCTTGTGTTTATGCCCATTGCACCCCGGGCCCACTGCAAGCTGATACCATATGTATATTGGACCAGAGGTCTCCAGGTCACTAGTAAATATGAAGAGGCCGCAGTGAGAGAGTTACAGGGGGCACATCTCAATAGCCCTAGTGTGCTAGTCCAGCAGGAAATGATGTTTCAATCAGTGGAGGAAGGTCCTTTCTGAAAGGTCCCATTGATAACCAGTGGGGCAGTGTGAGGAGAAAACGGACTCCCCCTGCAACTGATTACCCCCAATGTGGAGTAAAAGACAGATTCGGAATAAGAAAACACAAAAAAGCAAAGGTATCACTCAATGTTCCTCTATTCTGGAAAAGACAAATATGAGCAGAGTATGTCTTCCTCTTGATATTCAGCCTCTCAAATTGCCTGGGAAGAAACTAATGAACCTTAATGGTTCATGGATGGCTTGGCACAAAATGACTCCCAGTCAGCATTGGCAAGATTGATTTTGTTAGCTTTGTCAGATGGTGCGGTCAAAGGTCAACTAACTTGGTCTTTATAGAGTTGTCAAATAAAGCGGCTCTCAAAAGACCAAGGTTTGGCAGAGTTTGGTTCTTTTACTAAAAGTCTCTGCTACATATTTATGGGATTCACCAGATGTCCCTTTTAAGCAAAGGCTCTCGCATTATATCCCCACCAGCACTGCAGTGCTCACATCGTACTTGATTCCTTGATGTTTCCATTTGCACTGCAACACTCTAACTTCCGTGGCAGAACTGACACACCAACTTTCTAATGCTCAGTGTTCCTCCATCTCTGTTGGTATAAAAATAAATGTCTGCCCGCCAGCCTTTGAACTTGCTCGATGCCTTTGATGGTCCTGTTTGATCCCATTGTTTTCCCAGCAACCTGGAGCCTCTCCTGTCCAAACATGTATCCGGCGCAGAGACCCTGCTGCTCCCAGCAGAGAAACATGGATGGCAGCCCTGAAATCGTTGGAGAGCGTTTTTAACCAAAGCTTTGGCAAAGATCGCTGGGGATTTCAAGACTGTTTCCTAGTAATAACCAGAACAGGCTGTCTTCCTGGAAACACATTGGCGCTGGTTCTGGGCTCAAAAATGAGAGGGCCACAGATGTTGCATTGACTGACTTTGTTTAGCTTTTGTCCCCAGAAATAACTCTTTATGTTCTGTGTAAAATACATTAACTTGCCATTTAGACACACTTCTTTCATGTAACAGACAACAAGACATGTCACCTTGTCAGCAGCATTCCAACTTACTTGTTATACCCAGTTTAGTATGAGCGAGGGATGATGACAGGGAAGAGTGGGCAGGACCAAATGTGGATTGCACCGCAGCAGTGTAGCTGTTTTGTTATTATTTTTTCCTCGATTTTGTCAGTTGAGTATCTCAACATCGGCCCTTACAGACACAAGTTGTATTGTATTCCTGTAAATGGGCCTTCTTCTTTACCACCAGATGTTTTATTTCCTCCCATTTCACATCCGCCGTGATAAGTATGTCATCTACATTGTTGCAGTGAATCCCTTGGACAATTGTTATCTATTTACACATTGGCCTTAATTGGAAATGACGCAGACTTTGTAGGAAGGAGCTGGCAGGGTTATGTTCGTTGTCCAGTCCAAATGATTTAGAGATGTGCGTTCTCACATACAGCTTCTCTGGGTAGTGAATAGATAACTTCAGAGTTGCAGTGCATGTGTACAAGAGGCTTCTGTCTTTATCACCTTAAAAAAGGTTTGCAAGCTTGTCTTCTGTCAACACCTACTGGAAACTAATTCATTTGGATGAAACCAGTCACATTCTAAAGTGCCTCTGCCAGTGTGAAACAAGAAATGTAGAGAATGTGTTATGGTTAAAATACTTTTTTGCACTATTTATTTTCTTTCAGTGTAACATTATTGGTTCACAGCTAATAGAATGAATATATGAATGCAAAATGTAGCCAGACTCTCTGTTGTTTTGTACACTGATATTCTGTTAAGAGTGGCTCGGTTCACAAACTGTCCATGCCTTTTAGGAGAAATTACCATTTCTCTCTCTCCCATACTTTGCCATCCTCTTTCCAGTCGTTTTTTATTTTGACGGTGGTTTGGTTGGCTAAAGCTGCCCTGCTGGAAAAGAGGTTTAATTTGTATTTTCATTACCAAAGGAAAACAATCCCTGTACTAGGGCTGCACGATATATCGTGTTGTGACTTCCTTTTTTTTAGGAAGTGCGATATTAAGTAGGCAAATTAACTCAAACACGTCATGTTACAATTCTTTTGCTGCTTGCTACAAAAGGAAAACTCTCATGTCAGGGTTACTTGAGTGAGTGACATGCAGGCTCTGCATGCACAGCAAACCACCAATCACAATCAAATCTCCAAAGCAAACACTGAATAAAACACTGAATAAAGTAGTTTCATGTGTTTCTCCAGGGCAGTTCTGCGCTGCTAACCGAGCTAGCTCAGCTTGTTGCTCTGATAACTTAAGATCCAGACGTCCGTGACTAAAATCCTTCATCCGGTTAAATATAGTTAAAAAAATACCAATTGTATAGCATTAAAGTTCAAGAAAGGATGGTTTGCGGACAAAAAAAACTTTCTTCAATTCCTGTATTTTTTAATATCGCAATATATATTGCAGGGGAAGAAAAATATCATTTTTTTCCAATATCGTGCAGCCCTACCATGTACCTCAATTGCACTCAGGGAAAAAGGAAGACAAAAGTCAGTCAAGACAGAAAGATGCTTGTTTCTTTAATGTAAAACTATTTTTGTTTTACTGCTACTGAAATGTTTCTATTTCAGTACAGTTTTATTCAATGAAAATTGCTGACGTTTTAGTCTGTGTTAGCCACTAGATTTTATTGAACATTTTAAACAAATTGAGCCAAAATATCCTTTTTGATCATTCACCCAAGCCCTGTTGTTTTCAGCTCTAACTAAAGTAAGTAGGTTACTCCTGACTCTGCTCATTGTGTTCTGCCAATGAAGTCCTGATTCAGAGGAAACAGACATGTTCGATGCCAGCAAAATAATAGAGTTTTTGGTAAATAAATGTTTCCCTCCATTGTAAGTATTTAACCTGATAACATTGGTGCTATCTTAGTCATGGAAAGAAAATGTTGTTTCGGAACATATTTAGTCAAAATGAACGAAATGAAATCAGTTGTACCCTCATACCTGAAATATCAACACATATCTAGTCACCTGAATACCCTGCAGAATAAGGAAGGCCTTGGCTAGTATCCATCTCCTTATCCTTACCCTTAGTTTCTGTTTGCCCACTGAAGAACAGCTCATGGCTCTTTCTGGCTGCTCTGCTGTGCACTGATGTGGTTTTCTCTCAGCCAGACCTGACTAGTGAGTCGAACAATTTGTCCTTCTGTCAGAAGTAGGCCGCCATGGTCACTTGTCTGGAGGGAGGAAACCGGAACAGGGAGAGGAACGGGTCAGCCGGAGGGAGGACAATCACAATGAGGAGTTAGAGTAGGATGATAATGATTGTGGTGATAATGATGCAGAGGAGGACAGTTATGGAAGATATGAAAGCGATGATGGTAAGCAGAATGACAGCAACAATAGTGGCACTGATGACTAAGATTGAGGCTGTTGATCGTGACGACACTGATGATGCAGATGGAAGAATTTAAAGAAATTGTGGATTTCTTCAGGGAAACATATTCAAAATCAGCCTTTATAAGTGTGTTTAAGAAAACATCTGAGTAGTGGGCGATGTGCCCTTGGTGTCTTCGAGCCTTGAGCGAAGTGGTTATATTTAAAGCTGCGGCATGGCTTGCAACCTGAAAGAAGGACACGCTCTGACTCAAGCTTTTTACAAGGGCCTTTGGTTTGTATTCTGTCCGCACACGCGCTCACAAATCTTCTCTTTTATTTTTCCAAGTGTGCCCTCGTAAGAGCCTCCCCACAGCAACAGAAGATTGGTTAATGGAAAATTACAATATAACACCTCTTAACATCTCCTTTGTCAGTGTTTTGTTTACTTTTAAAGAACGATATTTGTCAGGTTTGCTCAGATAGTCATTCTCAAGGTCGATTTTCCGTCCTTTTGGAAAAAGCTGTACAGATGCTAGCAGCAGGCTGTCGGCACACAGCCTCTTATATTCAGCGCAGAAAATTATACAGTAGCTGTGGTCGTAGTGCTTAAAAAGAAGGTCACTGAATTGGGAATCGCTAACCCTTGTTTGATGGAAACATGTGTCTAGACCACAAGGCATTATCGGTATGCCATCCTCTAAGATAGATTGCTGAATAGTCAGGCCACTAGCTCAGCCCCTTGTCCTTGAGGTGTTCTATGGACATACTGTAACTCAACTCAATG